GATCTTTCCATCTGAGGGGTGTGTGAAAGGAAAAAGTAAGATAACTAAACTCACCGAACCACATCAGCAGGGTGGAACAGATGATGGAGAGAAGGAAAGGAAACCAATGTTCAAACCCAAAGAAAGGCTTTCTGACATAGAAGTGCATTTTTTTCTAAACTCGAGGCAGGGCTTCACCTAAATGAAAAAAAGGATATGAATGTAAAGATGTTTTTCCTGTTTGTAAAGATGACCCTGACTGAGAATAAATTACTCCCATTCAAAATCTACTTAAGAAAGATGTGCTTTCTCTTTGTCAGCTGTTATTATCGGATCCTATATCAGTTTGTAAATACACAGACCTTTGTGCTGACCCCGAAGACCTTATTCACTACAGTGTGTCTGTATTTTTCTGTTCAAGTTTCAAAACACATATTAATTGTGCATGGCAATGGGTTTCGCTATGACATTTCCATGCACGCATATAACATACTTTGATCATATCCCCCCACCTGTTTTGCTTTGATAAGTTCTGAAAAGGATGGCAGTGTTGCAAAGGAAGTTTCCAGAAATGAGCATTGATCAACAGTCTCATGAAACACTTCAGCAGCTTAGGCAGAGTCACATCTGTGGAAAAATCAGTTTTTACTAAGAACTGATGAGTGGCTATCCCATGATATCTCTAGGTGAGAATTTTTTTTAAGCATTCTCTTACACTAAGAAATTTTGTTCTGGTTATTTTCTGGAGCAACCAGAACATGTTCAACTTTAGGTATCTTAAATACACTAGAGAAATTTTCATTTATTGAAGTTTTTGTTAAAATAAAAATAAAATAATATTTCCAGAACTGACAAGGGTGAAATTTAACCAAAATAACACAGTGAAATCCATAGGCTTTGAAAACACAGTCTGGTAGAAATGGATAAATGCCTAACACATAACCTACCAAAATTAAATCAAGAAGATTTAATTAAACAGATACACAACAAATATTGAGACTAAAACAGTTCTACAATAAAAAAAAAAGAAAAATGTAAGGAGGAAAGAATGAATGAATCCTAGGACTGGTTTAAGAACCATATTTCTTAGTCAGCCCTATTTTCTTCTCCCCAAAGAAAGGTCTTTCATGTAAAATTAAAGGTGACTAAGTTTGGAAAATGTGTCCAAATATTACCATAAGACAATGCAGATGGCTACCAGGACTCAAAGATCAATCCTATCAAGTAGCCAAAGAACTTTCTGCAATAGAAGAAAACTCCAGTCTACACTTCCTAGCACAGTCAGTACTCATGCTGGTGACTGTCTTTGAATGCTACTAGCTAAAGTAGTCAAATGTGGCTATGGTAAGTCAGCAGATCTAGAACAGGATAGGTTGGGATTTCCTGAACACACATTCGTGTATCCATAAGGAGAAATCTAAGATAGGCACTGTAAGAGTTACTGTCTGGCCAGTGAGTCTACATCAGAGTGTAGCTTCAAAAGAAATGAAAGCAGGGACTGAAAGGCATGTGTGTGCTTCTATGTTCTTAACATCCCGCTCCTCCTTCCTCTCCTCCTCCTCCTCCTCCTCCTCCTCCTTCTCATCATCATCGTTACTTTCCAGTGCTTGGATCCAAGGCCTCAAACTCTAGGCAAGTGCTCTTCCACTGATCTACACTCCCTGACCTTAGAAACATAATTCACAATGGCTAAAGGGTAGAATAGAAGCAAGGTATGAAACCACAGGGGAAATCAGGTGCCGGTATACAATGGACTGCTATTCAGATTTAAAAGGAGTGGGATTTGAATGTATGCTGCAAGATGAATGAACACTAAAGGCATTATGCTAAGTGGAGTAAGCCATTCACAAAAGGGCACATCCACAGCAATAAAATATGATGGTGCTTGCTGAAGCCTAGGAAAGATGAGAATAGGGAGTTCATGTGTAGAGAGAAGCCTTCCCGCCAGCCTGGTCCCAGAGCCGCATGAGTCCCAAATGAACACACAGGACACTATATTAATTATGAAGCTGTTGGCCTTGCTTGTTTCTTACAGGCTAGCTCTGACTTAAGTATTTACTTAACATAATTAACATAATTGTTAATTTAAGTATTTCTCTTACTGGAGAAAAGGGTCCGGACTTCTTACCCCTAAGGCAGAGCTACATGATGACTCCCTGTGTTACTCTTTCCCAGAATCCTGATCGACTCCTAGTCCCACCTATCTTACTTCCCTATTGGCCAACAGTGCTTTATTCAACAACTAATAAGAGACAGATTTACAGAATGGCATCTCCCATCACTAATGTCTAATGGGTACCAAGTTTTAGTCAGGGAGATGAAGAACTTCTAGAGATGGGCAGTCATTGGGGTTTACACGACAGCATGAATGTACTTGATGTCACTCAACTGTCCATCTTCAAATGGTTGCAGTATAAAGTTTATGTTGTACATATTTTATCACAGTTTAAAAAAAACACAGATTGTCTTCAAGGAGTTCTAAAACTTGGAAGAGAATGAAAGTTCATGGTAACTACATGGTATAGAGATAGAGTTGTCACTTAGCTGAAGGCTATAGAGGTGCCCTGTGCAGTTTAGATGGTTGGATCTTCCATCCTTATGCACCAATGGGTCTATGAGCCCATCAGACGCACCACCAGTGTCTTAGATTCATCTGACCAACTTCGTACTTGACAACTTGACAACCTGAAGGTGTCATAAATGAAATTCTTAGGCTGAGGATGTGACTCAGTTGGTACAGGGGTTGCCTAGCATGCACTGCTGGGGGGTATTTACTAAAGATGCTTCAGTTATGGGGTTAAGCAAATAGAAAGTCTTTATCAGACATCTGGTGACTACATTGGGTGTTTGGGATCCCAGTGTAGCACAGAGCATTTCTCAGGATGAGCTTTTCAACACAAGAACCATGTTCTGGGTTGGCATATTCCAGGTAACAAGAATAGTTAGCCAGAAACAGAGCTACAGAAGCCAAAAGCCAAGGTTAGTATATTTAGGAACTTTCCCAGAACTATGAACTTTGATGGATTAGGTTTTTGTTTTCATTTTGACAGTTGATTCTATCTATACGCAGAGAGAGAGAGAGAGAGAGAGAGAGAGAGAGAGAGAGAGAGAGAGAGAGAGAGAGAGAGAGACTTTTGGGGTTGTCTTTCCAACTCTGCATATGAGACCTTTTTCTACTAGTTGCCCTGAGCAAAATTTTGACTCATTTTTGTTCCCCCTGCTCATGCCCTACATCCTTTTACTAGTGAGTCCACTTCTTGTGAACATGGCCAGAACTTGATGGCTTCTTACTTGCTCTACCACCATGGTTTCCTGTAAGTCGGCATTTTCCAGAGAAGCTGAACCAGTAGCAGATACAGAGAGCTGTCCTATACATATGCCTTGTGCATGGTAAGGAATTGTCCCATGCATTTATGTAAGTCTCAAGAGCTTCACTCAAGAGACAGGAGACCCAGAAGATGTAATCATGCAGTTCCAAGCTGATTCTTGAAGACCAGAAGAGCAAGGGGAGCCAATAGGAGAGTTCCAATCTGTGCCTAGGCCCAAAGACAAGAAGATTCCAAAGTCTCATTTCAAAGACAGGCAGACAAAGGAATTGACCCTTTGTCTTTTTTGTTTAATTCAGGCCTTCAGGAGCTGATATAAGGTTCAGTTGCATTGGGGAGGGCAATTTGCGTTGCTGAAGTTACCAATTCAGATCTAATCCCATTCAATAATCACCTTTATCGTCATACCTAGAATAATGTCTGGGTACTCAGTCAAGTTGAGACTTAAAATTAACTGCCACTGTTTCCTAACATATCCATGCACTTCTCTTTGTCTTTTAATCTATCCTCAGCAGAGCCATGGCAGGTGGAAAAGCCATGGCATGCCACTCTTCTGCTAGAAATTCTTCAGCATGCATATCTCATCTCAGTGGCAGCCAAATTGAGACCCACACGCCCTCTCTCGACCCTCAGCCCACCCCGTTACTCTGTCTTTCACATCCCACGTGCATTGATGCTTCTCCGAAAGGCAAGCACGGCCCAGCTTTAGGGTTTTTAAGTCTGCACCTCCCTAGATCCCAAAGGTCCTCATCAAAGTACACACAGATACTGCTTCGTCCCTCAGAACATACGGCACCCATTATCCTTATTCTAGTTCTTTTATCAAATAATCAGCGCTAGGGGGTTGTGGGTCAGCGGTAAGACACTTGCCTACCATACTTAAGGCCCGCAGTTTGCATACCAGCACAAGCTCAAGGACTGTTTTAGAACGGTTTTAGATCTACATACACACAACTGATGTTGCCCCCACATATTCTTCTCTGGGATCCCCTTCTGTCGCAGTCTTTCCATTAACAGATTGATCCTGGCTGATAAGCCAGCCTTCCCTACTTCATCGATAACTAAAGATCACACTCTAGTCACATTACCCCAGGGTTTTGTTTTTGTTTGCAAAGATTTACTTCTCTTTATTTTATGTGTACAAATGTTTTGTCCTCATGTACTGTGTGTCTGGAACAGAGACAAGGAGAGGCATCGGATCCCCTGGAACTGGAGTTATGGATGGTTGGGAGCTACCATCTTGATACAAGCGCATCAACTGTTAGCCTCTGTTGGAAGGGGCTGGTGGAAGGCGGGGCTCAGTGTCTCCTTGGTCGGCCTCCGGTTCAGCAGTCGCTGGGGTCCTCGCTGCCGCAGCCACACCCACACCCAGAAACGGTTTCTAGCATCCTAGCCTCGGAAATGTTCTGGACTGCAAAAGTCACCTGCGCTGTTGGGGTTTCCCCTGGGGAAGTCCGACGGATCCCGCCCTGCGCATCTCTCCATCCCAGAGCGCGAAGGAAGACGGAGGAAGTTCCCGGGTGGTCCAGGCTCCTCCCCCCCACCGGCAACATCTGGCGGAGCTTAGGCGGGGGAAGGTGGCTCGTGCATCCCGCAGCGTGACGACTGCTGTTGGGTAAGGAAGCGGCGCGCCTACACGAGGACGTCTCCGGGGCGGGGCCTGGTCCCCAGCTGTGCGACCTCCGAGCTCCGGGGGCGGGGACAGTGGCGTCCAGATGCGGTCGGGGTGGCGCACGGCTCGCACCGCGCCTGAGAAGTGCAGCCGGAGCCGGTGAGAAGCGCAGGCAGCAGGGCCGGCGGGACACACGCGCCCGGTTTCCTCCGGGAGTCCCGTCGCTGGATCAGCGCCCCGCCGAATCACGGTTCGTTTTGTCGCGGGAGTCCGCTTGGCACTCTAACTTTTTCAGCGTCGAGGATGCGGGAGCGGGGCTGGCTGGGGTGGAGGGATCGCGTTGACCCAGCTCAGGGATGCTGAACAGCAGCAGGTGGGTTTGGGGTGTGGTTCTCTCTGCGCCTCTAGGTGTCTTCAAGACGAGGATTTGGGTTTCTCACCTAAAGTTTGAGAGTATAATGCTTCATCAGAAGTGCTTCAGAAATGACGACTGTAGACTGACTTTATAAAGCTACCCGAGGCAACTTTTGTTTTCGGTTGAGAGGTTGAGTTTTGTCTTATTCTGTCTTATTGAATGGTTTGGTCGCCACTTTCTCAAGCACATCAGAACGGGCACTTCTTGACTTGAACTTGACAGTATGAATCAGGAGCCAGGAAATACAGGAACATTGACACCGCCTTGAAACAGCTCCCACAGAAGACCCTGGGGAGGTGTTTTCAGGTGAGAGAGAGACCTGATTGGCTTTGCTTAGAGAACCACGCCACGGAATTCTGTCAGCTTCTGGCCTCCACGAACACCAGCTGAGACCTGCGTTTTACTTCCTGTGGCCCTCTCACACTTACTTGTTCGAGCCATTTCTCAGCAGAGGGAGGAGCTGTTGTTTCTACACGAGTATCCAAAAATGAGTCACAAGTCTGCTCTAATTGCGAGACTTTGTTAATAAGCCTTTGAAAAGTGAGGTTGTATCCCTGTACTTAGAATAAGATCAACAGATGACACCGGTGCTGTCAAACTGGGGCAAGCGGCCTAGGAAGTAACTATTCAAGTTTTCAGTTTCCTAAAGCGTCTGATGGGACAACATGCCAGCCAGGGTCACTAGGCTGATCTGAGATAACCCTTAGAATCATGTGCTTTGCCACAGAAGTTCAATAGAAAATTAATTTCATTATCCAATAACCATTTGCTTGTTATTTTGACTGCTTGGTAGGAATAGGACATTTTATGGAGTGATTGTAAGTGTCATTCTGAAACTAAAGATATTTCAGACAGTTTACTTTTACCAAATTAGTGCTTTAAGAAACATTTAAAAGCTTTTGAAGTAGTTCAATGGTTGCTGGACCCAGACATTAAGATGTTAAGTCTCATGCGTCCAGATAGTGGCTCTTAGAAGTGGACTTCCCTATCTAGAAGCTCAGTAGAGAGAGAAATAACTGTACCCTCGCTGAGCTGATGTCAGTCATAGACAGCAGTTACAAGGCTCTGGTCTGTTCCAGCCTCTTCACCAAGTTCCATGTATACGACCATGGACACAATGCTATCCTGGCAGCCAGGGCCATCGCTGAGCAGGTTCTTGGGAAAATCCAACATCATGAGATGGGTGCTATGAGAAATTGATACATAAAGGAGGTGTCCCGGTGTGGGGGTGAGTTGAAGCCTTGAGAGTCAGGGTGTCCTAGATCATTGCTGGGACAGCAAGGGAAGGCTTGCGTTCTGACCACCTACTTGTCTTTGTAGGCAGCCTGTTTTTCATTCAATATGTGGTTTAAAGGCACATCAGTGAGCATGGCTTTTAAGTGTTTGAACTCACCATGTTTCATATTACTTAGTAGCTGTGTAATGGCAAACGCAGTCTGTTATCACTCCTGGGCGGTTGTGGCCACTCTTAGTTATGTGTCCTCTTAAAAACACAGTAACTAATGAGTGGTTCATAACTGCAGACCACTAGATCGAAGTGACTTCTGCTCATGGGTTTATACAATTGTTGCTCGTCATCTGAGGGGTTGACTTGACTTCTATGACTTCTAGTTACCTGAGTTCTGATATGTAAAGTAGAAAATTTCCAGGAATAGTAATACACTTTTGGTTTATTTTATTTAAGACATGACCTTACTGTGTACCCTGGCTGGCCTGGAATTCACTGTGTAGACCAGGCTGACCTAAATAGTAATACACTTTTGGTTTATTTTATTTAAGACATGACCTTACTGTGTCCCCTGGCTGGCCTGGAATTCACTGTGTAGACCAGGCTGACCTAGAATTCACAAATACCTGCCTGCTTCTACCTGATTGTTCATTGTAAAAGTGAGTGTCACCGCACCTGCCAATAAGATACTTCAAGAAAGGGAGTTCGGGGACTGGAGAGATGGCTCAGAGGTTAAGAGCACTGACTGCTCTTCCAGAGGTCCTGAGTTCAATTCCCAGCAACCACATGGTGGCTCACAACCATCGGTAATTAGATCTGGTACCTTCTTCTGGCCTGCAGGGATACATGCAGACAGAATACTGTATACATAATAAATAAATAAATATTAAAAAAAAGAAAGGGAGTTCGTGCATACCGAATTAATGATGCTATATTGTTAGTTGTTTTCCTGTTAATCCCCATTTATCTCTTACTGTGAGTAATTTATGAATTTAAACCTTATCTTAAATATGTGCGAACAGGGGGCAGCATAAATAGGAGTCAGGCATTCATGAGTCACTTGTGCAGGATCCCTGAGTGTGGGGGGGGAATCTCACAGACCCACAGCACTGACCACGCCCATTTGGGCGTGGCCACAGGTACCTGGGGGAAGGCAGAGATAAAGGGCAAGGAGGAAGGGATCACTCTCTCTTGGGTTCCAGTCGAGGTGCAGAGACCAGCAGAGCACTGACCTCAGTTCTTGGCTTCTCCAGTGATTTCTCCCTAATAAAATAACATACGACAGCCCTATCCTGTGTATGGTAATCTTCCTCTTGTACCTGAGGATTAAGGAGGAGCAAACATTCCTGTCCTCTGAGGTAGCTAAGTAGTAAAGGACAACTGCTCAGCTCTACGTTCCATCTCTCCCTCTCACGTCTTCTATGAGAGAGAAAAGATGAAGTGTCTTAGGCATTGTGTTCCTGAGCTTTGGCATGGGTTCGACTCATGATGTTCTAAAGACGGTTTCTTTAAAACAATGACCCTGACTGTAGATGAGGGTTGCCCAGGAACTGGAGGGGTAGGTGACCCAGCAGAAGGAACAGCAGTACTGAGGACTGAACCGTATTCTGTGGTCGGGAAACTCCAGCTTGTTCCCTGGGGTTGGGGGAGAGCTTCGGGGAGGGCAGAAAAATGAGCGTGGAAAGACAGAACAGGACCACAAAGACCCATGTGCCACACAGGCTCCAGGACATTGTTCTGTGGGGCCTCTGAGAAAACAGGCAGCATCAGAGACCTGTTTAAAACAGCAAGAACTAAGAAAATGGCTGTCAGCAAAGTACTTGCCACACAAGCGTGAAAATTTGAGTTTGATCTCCAGCACACATGTAAAAGGTGACCGTCAACCTGTGACCTAAGCATTGGATAAATGGAGACAGAAGGTCCTGAGACTTGCTGATACTCTGGTCTACCTGAACCGATACGTTTCACGTCCAGTGAGAGAGCTTAGGCACCCATGTCAACCTCTGACCTCCACAGACACGCCAACACATGTGTGCACACACACACACACACACACACGAAGATGCATACACACACACATGAAGATGTGCCCACACACACATGAAGATGTGCACACACACATAAATAAACATAGACACGCACACACCCTGAGGACAGAGTGGCTCAGAGCTGCATGGTCCTAGGGAGGACACTGTAATATGGAGAAGAGAACATGAACAAGGTTTGCAATCAGTGGTGGGGAGGCACAGAGATGGAGGAAGGCGCTGATAGAACTCACATTGTATAACACGCAGAACCCAGCTGCCTCTTGACAAGTGGGCTATGAGGACAGGGGAGAAGAGTTAAGATGACGCCCGTAATTCTGGTTAATGACCGCAAGAGGCGCATCCCACCCAATGGAAGAGTTGGTGTAAGGTAAAGGTTGATGAAGAGCTCACACACTACTTGGCATGTAAAGTTTTACATGCCTTGGTAAGATTTTTGACCAGTTAGTTTTTGTGAACTTGGCACAATCTAGAGTCACCGGGAAGAGGGAGCCACAGTTAAAGACTTGCCTCCATCAGGTTGACCAGTGAGCATATTTATGGGACATCTTATTGATTAACAATTGATAAGGAAGGGCCTAGTCCACTATGGGCAGCACCAAGTAGGTACCCTTGGGTTGTATTTTAAAAGCAAGCTGAGCAAGGAATGGGGAGCCAGCTAGTAAGGAAGAATCCTTCATGGTCTGTGCTTCAGTTCACGCTTCCGGGTTCCTGACTCAAGCTTTTGCCCCATCCATCAGTAACAGGTTACAGCCTAGGACATGTAAGCCAAACAAAGCCTTTCTTCCTTAGATTGTTCTTGGTCAGTGCTTCAGCATAGCAACAGAAACCAAACCAAGGACAATGTACTGAGTGCTTATGTGGACCAGGAATTATCCCAGGCTCAATAAATAGATTAAGTCTTTTATTCCTCACTGGAATCCTGTGATGAATTCCCTTACTACTTTAAGGAGGGTTAATTATTGACAGCATTGGAAATTTATCCCAAGCACCTGGCTCCGTGGTTGACATTATTGAACTTTTCTACACGCTTTTGCTCTTTCTGAAGAAATAAATGAATAAATAATGTTTTAGACTTTGTGCTAAACTCAAGTTGCCATTGTTTTTGGTTTTTATCTTTTTTATCACAACAATTCTTCCCTGAGCAAGAATAGCTCCAGTCATAATATGGACACTTCATGACCCCTGGTTTGCTGGGTAGCATCTTTCTCCCGCTTTCCTCCCAAGAAATAAGTGATCCATCTCCATCTAGGAATACCTCTGGGGTTACCATCAATTGCTCCAGTGTGGCGGTCTGAATGAGAATGGCTCCCATAGGCTCATGAATTTGAATACTTGCTCCCCTGTTGGTGGATCTCTTTGGGAAAGGTTAGAACGTATGGCTTTATTGGAGGAGGCGTGTCACTGTGGGTGGGATTTAAGATTTCAAAGGCCCATGCCATTCCTAGTTAGCACGCTCTCTCTCTCTCTCTCTCTGCCTCTCTGCCTCTCTGCCTCTCTGCCTCTCTCTGCCTCTCTCTGCCTTTCACGGCCATAGATCAAATGTCAGCTACTGTTCCAGC